AGACACGCATCAGAGCAGGCACAGAGACTTCCACTCATGCAAGCAAAAGGAAAGTGTCACCTCGTTGTTAAGGAACCCTTCTGAATCCTGAAAGTTAGGAGCACAACTATTTTTATATATAGAAGTTTTAAAAGGTAAATAAATAAACCAGGTCAGGTTTGTGTATGTAAAATTGTTGACATCAATGATGTCTTTCCATATTCTTGATCTGGGCTAAAGAAATACATTCTGTATTTTTCCAGATTTCTTTGTAGCCTTTGGAAGATTTTTACAGTACTTATGTCTTGATTGAACTGTCCTTTCTTAAAACAAAAGCTTGTATAATTTTCTTAACTTGTACAGTTGGTAAACTTTTATGAGAGAATTGATATCCTGAGTCTAATGTCAGCTTCGTTTTATTTTGCTGAAGTCTTTTCTAAAAAAAAAACACAAAAAAAAAACAACAAAAGAAAAAAACCCAAACCAAACTAATTGACTTAAAAATGCTTCTTAGTCACCGACATGTTATTTTCTTCTCAGAAAACAGTAAACAATTGACATCAAGAACGGTTAGAGGCCGTTTGATTTTGAAAACATGATTTTTCTTACTTCTCTTTTATGGCAAATAGAGATGCTGAAAATGTGGTAAGCACGAGGCTTGCGTTGCACGATTTTTCTCACTTTCATTTTACGTTTTCTCATTTTATTTTGAGCTCGGATAAGTTTCACGTCAGCCAAACGCTTACATTTACTAAACCTTGTTGGCCAAGGTCAGGTGTTGGATTATCCATTGATTTATTTCCAGTCTGGCTGTCATCTTCCACGTTTCACTGAGCGCAGGAAGGGCAGGAAGCGGGTCGAGTGATTGTGGCTGTGCAGGGAAGAAAGGGAGGTGCAGCTGCCAACCTGGTGCCCGAGCTTCAACTTCGGAAAACTCGTGGACCTGGTACAGATGGGTATTCAGTGGGAGCAGAAGCATCACCTACACAGACTTGGTCCAGCGTATATACGTGCAGTCTATAGGGATTCACCTGCGGAAGGAGTGAGAGTAGGGATGGATAACGCTTTTAAGTGCAGGAAATGAAAATTCCGTATAAATGCATGTGATTTCATAGATTTCATAGATTTCTAGGTTGGAAAGGACCTTAGAGATCATCCAGTCCAACCGTCCCTAATCCCCCATTAAACCACATCCCTAAGTAGTTCATCCACCCTTATGGATGGTGCTCACCGTCCCGCTGGCATCATTTGGAAATTCTTGCAGTGGGGGTTTACATCCATGAAACAGAAAGATTTTTAATACTGGGGGGTTCTTTTTGGTTTTTTTTTCCTACTGGTTTTTTTTTTAGTCACATCTACTATATTAAAAATAGGCAAAATTGTTCATTTGTATAACTTACAACCTTGTCTCCTCCCGTGGCTTACAGGTGCATTGTTCATTTTTAATTGGTTATTTTTACTTCAGGTTTCTCAGTCTTCATGATTCCAGTTTTAAATGTACGGTCCTATGGTTTGAAACTAAGGCAGCAACCTGAAAAAACCAACTGCTGAGGGTTTCCTTGGTTTTGCTTTCTTCTTCCACTGCGTGTCCTTGGACGTTACGGTCGTTCATGAGCCAAATCCTCTGGACCCGGCCCAGCTCCACCACTATGATGTGTTACTGGAGTGTAGTAACCTGCAGTTCCCAGAAACGTTGTGAATGATCCATTTTAACTGGTTCAGCTGCCATCAGTAAGGTTTGTTAATGTATGGCCTGCGTTAATCAATTAATTAAGCAATTGCTTTACTAAGAGGTTGCTGTTGATTTTACAATCTGGTTTATTAACGGAAGCCCAAAGTATTACAGCCTTATAGCAAAGATGGTCTTGAGATGGTTTCAGACTTTTCAGTTTTATTTTTATGCATTTTTGTTTGCAAGTTGGAAATACTTCTGAAAAATTTATAGGAAAGTTTATAAGCAAATTGTCTCAGGTTTGTGTGTGAAATGCAGCACTGTGTATATTTTCAGGAATGTTGCTTTGGTTTTTTTATCTTAAGTTTGTTTGTTTGTTTTTTTTCTGGTGATGCGTAGAACAGACCTGACATTCCATAATCAACAACTATGTAATGCTCAGCTAGACTTAAAGAATATTTAATTATAATTTACATTTTGTTTATGCTGGTGTTTTATACAATACTTTGTTCATGTTCTTCAAAATGCAGCCACTATAACTTGATAAGTCATTGCACTACTAAAGCTATTTAAAATTCTAGAAATAGAGTAATTTGGATTTCATTTTAAAAAGCCTTCAGCGCAGTTTGGAGCCCAGGAGGGTTTGAACATGTTTCCAACCCACACTGAAAAGATCACGACGTGCCCGTGACACTGGGGGGTGTTTTCCAAGGACCATGGTGCTGGGGCAGTGGGTGTCCTGGACTCACGGAGTGCTTCAGGACTGCAGCCCGAGCGGAGAATCCAGTGCCACAGAAGGAACCTTTGTTGGGCTTTTCTAAAGGATTAAACGTGGTAGTAAAGAAACAACCACACACACACACACACACACACACAAAATTGATGAATTAGTTTTATACATTTTCCCACACATAGTAATTTTGCACTGTTAGTAAATCCCTTCTCTGAGCCCCTGTCTGCAATTCTGAAAAAGCTTATTAAAATATTTTTCTAAACAGACCGTCTGCATAAAAAATTCCTGAGGGTTTTTTTTGAACTATTTCTGCTTACGGAGGATGCTCACACCCCGTCCCCTTGTAGCAGCGCTGTAGTGACTCTTACTGCTGGGGTGAAATACCCTTTTCTGATTAACCTCTGAACCGTTTCTTCCTTTCCTTCCCCTAAAAGGGGGGAGCTCTCACATCCTTCTCCCACAGTGCTTTCCCGGTGCAGCCGCAGGCTGGGGCTGGGCCTTACTGGGAGCAGCTGGAAAGCAGTGGGTTGGCCTGGGGGCTCCTCTACACTTCAACACAAAGGTGGTGTAACGTAAAGGTTTTGCTTGGTGGGTGGCTTGTTTTTTTCGTTAGCATCTTTCCCTTTTCCTTTCCTCAAAGACCATTTAAAGCCAAAAATTTAAGAGCCCACCCTCACCCCCAGCTTCCCGCACATGCACCGAAGGACACACGGAGGGGACACCCATCCCTGCAGCTGGGGTGCCCAGCTGCACCCCTCTGCTCTTCAGCCTCAGCAGCTTCACCACCTTTTCCCGGAGCGCAGGCTGGATCCCGGCAGAAGGAGAGCAGGCAGGGGGACGAGGAGGGAATGTCATTGGTTTATTTGACGCCCGTACAAAAATACAGAGGCACATAAAATCTATTTTTTTTTTTTTTTTGCTATCATTACTGACTGACATAGAAAGCCTGCCATACATTCAAATAAAAAGGTCACCCTCTCAATCACTAAAATGGTCATTTTTGTAAATAGATTCTATATAGAAAAAAACTTTAGTTGATTAATCACGTAGAAAATACTGTAGGAACTCTGTTCGCTCTCCCAGTGTACACCATACCATCCAGCCCCGGCACTGACACGTGCACGGTTACAAAATAAGCTCTAAAAATATTTTACCGTTTGGACAATAAATCTAACCAGTAGATTCAAAAAAAATGAACAAAAAAAACATCAAACCTTTTGACAGAATCGACATCCTGACCGCGAACGCCTCGGCGCAGCGAAGTCAGCAGAAGAAGAGCTCTGCAGCTGATGGCAAATCTGAGGTTTTACTGAAATTTAGGAAGCAATTAAAAAATAAAATAAAAAAATGACCCCGGGGGAATTTTGTCTTTCTCCGACTCTGCGCTCCGAGGGGGGAGCTCCGCTGCGGAGCGGCCAAGTGCCTTAAAAACACAATAAGGGCACCGACCCCTCGCTGCACCCGTTCAGCATCCCGCTGCCCCCAAAAAGCAGCCCAGCACCCCTGGAGGGAAGGGAAGACCCCCCCCGGCTCCAGTACGGAGATGTCAGCTCCGGCACACTCAGCCAGAACGACTCCAGGGACGGGATTTTCGGAGCAGGTGGCAGCGCCGGGGCCGGCAGACTCATTACGTCGGGTTTTTGCGGCACTGTTACAGAAATTCTGGGTCACAGATGATAAAAAACTTCAGTCAAGCGTGTCGATAAATCCAGCTTTGCCAAACAGCAGGTACAATATCAGCAAATATCTTCCAGAAACAAATTATCTTGTCTATGGAAGCTATTTTCCTGGTTACTAAAGGACAGTATATAAAAAAAACCTCATAAATACAGAGTTTTACCAAAAATTTCTTTAACCAAAGTTAAAAAACAATTCTTTTGAAACCAAAAGACAATCCAAAGGGAGACCTAGAAAGAAGTGCTGTGTAAGACAACCTTTAAAAATCAGTTAACACTGCCTGACATACTAAAAATCCCGTTCATTTTAACGGGTCACAAACC